AAGACTGATCTAACTACGAGTTAAGTTAATTACTAATTATAGCAACATAGATGTTTTATAATCAACAAGCAAGAAATATAACAATTTACACATAAATATAAAAGTATACATGTTCATGATCTAGCACCTTCAGGGTTATTTTATAAATAGTAATGTTAAACTAAAAATTATTAAACATTCCATACCTATTCTATTAAAAATCAACAGTTTTATAAAATTTAATTAAATCAATAGCATAATGAATTTCATGTTAGCTTAATATTAATTAAACTATTATTTTTTTAATATATTAATGTCAATTACAGTTGAAATAGTTAAGTTAAAGAATTTGATTTTAACAAATTATTATATAATTAATTTAATATATTAATAAATTATATATAAATCATAGCATTTAAAATTAAAACAGAAAAAAAAAGATTGTTTGCTTTTACTACCAAAAGAAATTTTAAAAACCTCCTCTGTGATTAAATTTGGTTTTGGTATGTTATGTTGAAAGCAAATATTCCTTTGTATTGTAAGCTTTGGGGTGTTGAAAGATTCTAGTTTAGGACATATGCACAGGAATTACACCTTAATTTAAAAATTATTAGTTGATTAATTTATTTATAACAATATAAATTGATCACGAGTTATATTTTTTAAATATTAATAACATTTCATTTTTACAATAAAATTTTTACCCACTTCTTTTCGTTTTCTAGATTCTAATTTAATTTAGGAATGATTCTTACTCTAAAAAAATGTCTAATCATCGTGATTCGTGGGTGCTGGGAAAATGAATGAAGAAATCTTTATTTCAGAAAAATGAGGATCGCTAACGAACTTCGATTTTTCCGATGCATCAAAAAAATGGCAATATCTATTTAATTTAACGATTAAATACGGCACATTATAAAACCTAAAACTTCACGGAATGTTGAAAACGAAATAAATTTTAACAAACGAGCTGAATGTAGATCGGCAAAGAGTCATTAACATAACTTCGGGAAGGCCAAGATTTTTTCTAATTATATCTCAGATTTTTCTAAAAATAAATCAAAATGCTCATGAATAATTAATTTTTAGGAACTTGCTTCCAGAGGTAACTTGCCCGTTGAAAAAAATTTTCAATGTTAAAACGCTGGTAGGGCGCTTCCAGTTATATAATTCCATGATGCCAACACATTTTAAAATCTGCATCTTAAACTTCTATGGATTGATAACTTTTAGTGTTTTGTATTTTGTAAATACATTGTTTTATCGTTCGCCGTAAAGAGTCGTGGCCACTTATTTTGATTAAGAATTTCTCCATGTTATATATTTTTTAAAATCAAATTTGTAATATAGTTGATGAAACTTGCTTGCAGAACTCGCTTTTTATGCTAACTCTTTGTCATTCGTAACGTCTCATTTTTTTACAAATTACTTACCCTAGCTAATCTGATATCTGACATCCCATTCAGCTAAAAAAAGCTAAAGGCTAAAAGCCTAAAATTTATCCGCTAAACGTAAACAGTTAACATGTTGGCAGTTGCGAGCATGGCTTACTAGTAACTATTCTAATGTTATGGCTACCTGTATTGCTCAGCTAAACTAAGTAAACCAATAAGTCCATGAAAGCATGTTTTGCTATAAAATGCATATTTATATAATATATATAATCTTCATAATTATTAATAGTGCTAATAATATTAATTATTATGAATAAATTATAAATATTAATTAATTTATTTTTTAAACAAAGTTAAAGTAAACTCAACAAATAAATATATAATATATATTTATATAATTAATAATGATGCAATGGGACTAAAAAAATGAAATGACTGACTTAACATTTCAAAATTTGTTTTATTCATACTTCTTTCATTTTCCAAATGTAATATCTCTGCACTGTTAAGTTAAACCTCTGACATTAAAAATGGAGTAATAATAATAATAATTTACTTAACACCAAACACCCCTACACTGTTTCAGTTAGTTAGTGGTGTGACTGGCTATGTGTTATTTATATTTGTTATTATTTTATATTTGTTTTATCTTTTTATTGTTATATTATTATTAATTTTTATTTGTTGTGGTGTTTTTATATTTTTTTAAAAAATCATCCCACTAATAGAATTGACAAATTAATTTCTTGATACTTTTATAAAACCCTGTTTCAATTTCAAAGTTTATTTACAACTTGAGAAAAGAGTTGTTCAAAGCAATAAAAAATTATGACATTTTGTTCAAGTTTTTTTTAATGTAATACTAATTTTAAATTAAAAAACAACAAGAACACAAATTCTCGCAAACTTTTAGACATGATCAAGCAGATTTATTTTTTCATCATAATATTATTCAAATGTTTTTCAAGCCTCTAATTTAGCATGTTCTCAAATAAATTCCCTATAACAACTTCTGATGGTCTCAATTATATGTGCACCAATTTTTAAACAATTATGGACATCATCTTTTGAAAACCTTGAAGTTTTCAATTAATTTGTTTTGCTTTACATTTTGTTGTAATATTTTTTATTAGCGTACAAATAATAGATTAATTAATGCTGTTAATCTGTGCAGGATGTTATGGAAGCCAGCAAATCCAAGAGGAAGGGGATCAATGAGATGGTTAAAAGGAACAAATTTAAAAGTGAATCTCTGCAAAATAACATCATTGAGCATTTGGTGTCGTATGTTACTTGCACTGATGGAGAAAAGGCCATCCAATATTTATCTAGGTGGTTATGTGCATTCCTTAAAATTATTTCAACTTTGTGCAAGTTTTTCTTCTAATTTCCTGCCAGATTCCCAAGTGGAATTAAATTAAGTGATGGGTTTGGCAGAACTTTGTTGCACATTGCATCTTCCCAAGGTAAAAGTGAACTAGTTCAATGGCTCATTGAACAAGGTTAATTATTTCACTGATTGACTAAAATTCCTGAAATGTACTTGAAATTATTTTTAGTTGTTTTTTATATGATTTCCCGAAAAAACCATTGTGATGTGATGTAATAATTTTTAATCTAGGTAGCCATGTGAATGCATCAGACAGGGAGTCAGGCTGGACTCCCCTGCATCGAGCCATCTTCACTGGACATCTGCACACCGCTCACCTGCTTATTCAGGTTGATTCATTGATTAAATTACCAATGCGGCTACTATAAATAACCATAGCATAACCATAAAACAGGGCCGTGTTTTGTTGGGCCAGGTTTCTGCTCTTTGTGAAATTATAAGAATTATAATAATAGCCAATGATATCTTATTTAATATAAGATTTAAATAATAAAATTGATATTAATTAATTAAGGTTGATAAATTTTAATTACACCAATAAAAAAGGTTTATTATTTGTTTGTTTTGGATAGAATGGATGCAACTTGATGAAGAGAGACAAGGAAGGGCTGATGTATTCAGACATCCTCTGCAAGGACAGACCAGCTTGGGTTGAGTTTGACAAAACAGGTTCCTATATTTTTTTAATAGCTGTTTCTGTTGAAAAGCTCAAGAATTCATTGTAGCAGCCAGATTAAATTGTTCAATTAAATTTATTAATATATTTTTGTGCCAACTTTTTAGTATACAAATTTACAAACATTTTTTTTACATATTTGTTTTATAAACAACAACCAAATATGTTCTTTCATCTAACAACTGTTGGCTTTGACTTCCTGTTACATTTCTGTTTAGTTTTGTTATGTTACATTCGTAGTTGAATGCTGTTGCAATGATGTTACAATGATGTAAAGTCTGAATGTTACATTTGTAGCTGAATGCTGTTTCATTATCTTTGCATTGGTGCTAGTATGATGTTATTATTACTATTACTACATCCAAGGTCTGAATGAATGCTTCACTTGGGGCTCCAATCCCAACAACATCCTGGGGCACGAGGACATGCAGACGAGAAAGGTGGCGGATCTTGTCGACTGGTTTCATTGCAGGAATATTCACATTCAAATGGTTAATCTTATTGGTGATATATTGACAATGATACAGTTCACTAACGCTAATTATAATAATAGTAAGACTAAACTGGCATGTGTTGCTGCTTATTACATTTTCAAAGAAATATTTTCAAAAAAGTTATAAGAACACAAATGAAAGATTGAAGCCAATTGGAACCACCTTCCAGGTTTCGATAAGCACGTACCACTGCATCTTCCTGAGCAACTCAGGCATGGTGTACACTTGTGGACATGGACTGGGAGGCAGGTTGGGACATGGGGACGAGAAGGCTTGCCTCGTAAGATTTCTCTTTTAAATGTTCACATCGGTTTTGTAATATTTATTACGTTACATTGAAATGGTGTTCGTTTGTGTGTTTTCTCATCAAACGTCTATTTATCTAATATAACAGATCACGATGATTTATAATACAATGCCTAAATCAAAGCAATATAAAATATCCAGCTTCTACAATGTTTTAAATGTTTTGATTATAGTTACCTGTTATTATTTTAATAAAAAAATATTTTGGTTATGACATATATATCAATAAAACAAAACGCAAACATTAGTTTTTTTAGAAATAATGGAAATTATGATATTGATCATTGCCATCATTTTCAAGTACAAATTAATAAGATTAATTAATCATTTTTTTCATACTTGCTATAACCATACCAGGCTCCAAAACATGTTGATGCATTGGCTCACGAAAAATTTGTCTGGGTTGATGCAAGTTCCAATCAGTCTTTCTTTCTTTCTGAAAGGTCTTTTGTCTTCTTTTCAGGCAATGTTTTCTTTATCATTTTTGTTGATATTTGCAATGATAATCATCTGATTAGATAACACTGAAAAAGTTCTTTGGTGAAATTATTGATTTTTAAAATCTGAATTAATAATTATGGATCACATATCTAAAAAGTATATACATTATACATATATTCAATTGTAAAACAGGGCACTCAACTGCTTAATTCATGGTGAACTTAAAATGTTTGAATATATTATGTTTTCATTCATTATGATGATAGCATTGTTCTAATACATTCATCTAGTAGTTAATTTTGTTGCACCAAAACAGTGGAGTGATATATTGCTGCGGCATGAACACCTTTCATCAACTCTGCCTTCCTAATCCATCTGACAAGTTGCTTATCCCCAAACAAGTCAGTTGCCTGTTTTGTTGCTGTTGCTATTGTTGCTGTTGCTATTGTTGCTGTTGTTGCTTTTGTTGTTGACTAGATCAATTTAATGATCATTTTTACTATTTTCATGATATACATCTGAATAAATGATTGATTTAAATTCAATTTTACTAGTTCACTGGTAAGTTGATGAAGGGCATGTCGGTGAGGTGCGTCTGGTCGCTGAAGTACCATGTCGTCATTCAAACGAAGGACGGCATTTACACGCATGGATTCAATGCAGGCCAGTTAGGTTGTTAGGTTGCTATATTTTAACTATTTATTTATTTGATGTTTCGTCCAAGATGTTTATTTTTTCTAATTATCACCAAATACATGACAAAATGAGAAGTATGAAATGTAAAATGAAAACCGATTTGCTGGTTTTGAGGTCTCAAGCCAAATCATTTATATGAATATTGAACTGTGAACTGAACAACATCCGCATTCTGCGTGAAACTTTAAAAAAAACTTTAAAAGACTTTAACCAACAAATAATTCAGTTAAATGCTTCTATGACATAATTAAAAAAATTAAATTTTAAAATAAATAAATAATGATGACAAAGCCTTAAGCTGAATTATACATAATTTCATTAAATAAAAATGTTAAAAAATTAAGTTAGATTTTCATTAACGACATACAACTTCATCAATGGCTAAGCTATTTTCCAGTGATTGCATTACAATCTTCCTTATCCTTTAAACCTTAAAAAATTTCATTTGTGCTTGAAACATATAAATTGTCTTTATTATCATCTACAGTCATAAAGCAGCAGCAACAACAACATGGCTTTCTTGATACGTTATATATTTGTGGAAGTCAACAACTTTTTCTCTGCAAATATTATCTTCTCCTTAGTTTTAAAATTTGAGAAGTTTTTTAATTTTAAAACATACCCTCTCTAGCACTTTATAGCCCTGTTATTAATAACGCATTGTATTTTTTAGTAATGCGAATTTCGAAGGTCACACGAAAGTTGAGGCAGAGAGAATCATTCATCAGCCACGCAGAGTCTCCAGCCTCATCATGGATACTCAACTGTCACTGGTTGCAGTGTCTGATGCCTCGACGGTTGCCATGACGACGAAGGGGGATGTTTTCCTTCTCCAGGACTATCAGTGTAACAGAATTGTATCCAAGTCAGTTTGTAACTGCTGTCAAGTGTTTGTCGTCGTCATCATGTCTATGTACGACATGCAATGTTGGTTTCGATGTTTTTTGCAGACTGTTGGGAATAGATCAGATGGCTGTGAGTGGCGGCAGGCTGGATCGATCAGTGATGGCGGATGAAACTTTTGAAAATATCTCTTCAAGGATCATCGTGGTGTTTCTAACAACCGCAGGAAAGGTTGTGGAGTTTTTTTTTAAGATTTTTATCTCATCTACAATCTCCATGATCTAATTAATGTATAATGGGGACTGTAATGTATTACGTAGATTATTATGTTTAATGTGGATTGTAATGTATTCTGCGGATTGTAATGTATAATGTGGAACGCATGTTGCTTCTTGTGTGTAAAATCATCAAAAATTATCATTCAAAAAATGTTTCAGAGTCAATGAACTCAACAAGCTCTAAATTTTTTTTTCATTATGATGAGTCAATTTTGTTAAAATAAATGTTAAATGTATGAGAAAGAAATTAAACACTGCACACTTTAGCAATGCAGTTAACGTACCTCACTATAGCAAAATTCATTCAATTGTAAAGAGACCTCCCAACACTTTTAGAAAAAAACTGTGATGTATTTAGTAAACGAAAAGCAAGAGAGGAAGAAAACTAAATATTTTTTGTCAGCGGTTGACTTTTATTTGTGGCCACACAACTTCTGTCGTCTGATTAAGTCGTTTTTGTATTCATTTTGTCAGATTAAGCATCAAAGAAACTAAATTATACCTGTTTTATAGGATTTTATTACATTCCTGAAGATTTGTTCCTAATAAGTGGCTGGTTTCATTAGCCTTCACTGTATATACTAGATTTTGAAGGACTGTTTTGATTTGTTGAAACATTTACTTAGGTGTTCCTCTGGACAGATGAGGACAGGTTGACTCGTCAGGTTGTTTGGTCTCCACGCAAGCCAATGACCGTCAAACACATTTCTATTTCCCATTTGTCTGATCGTGTCATTTTTGCCACGAAAGATGGTGAGGCATTTATTGGTAAAGTGCCAAAAGCAAAAACATCTGCATCACCACGAACGAACTCCTCGTGCTATCCAGTACCGTTCATCATGTCTGCTAAGAAAGGTTACCATCCATATATCTTTTCACACAATTTCTGATAAGTATTATTTGGTGTTATGCTTTATTTAAATCGATTAAATATTGTTTAATAAATTTATCGGATATCACGAGTGTCATAACATTATTAATCGATTATATAAATGCATTTATTTATATTCCTTTATTAACGAAAGCATTATAACTTTATTGATCTGCTGCAGTTTTTTATTACATAACAAGTAATTTTTTTTTATAAAATTTAATCCGTAAAAACGTAATTGAAATAAATAATAGAAATAAATTCTAGTGGATGAATTCTCAACTTTTTTTACACTTCTTTTCATCGCACACTCAGAGGCCAGTTCTACATTAGGCCACACCCTCCAGCAGTTGATTGACAGGAGGCCAATAGTTGACGTGCCGATTGAGAGAGTGGCATTGGTGCACAGGGCTACTTACGTCGCCATTGACGACAAGGGTAGCAACTTCGCCGTGCTGCAAGCCAGCCCTAATGCCAAGTTAGTAAGATTGTAAACAGCTTATGTAAAGTTAATTTTTTTAGAATGATTACTTTTAAAGCAGTTATCACTTGATCTATTACTCTTCCAATGATTATTTCAATCACAACAATCAGCTCGTGGAATGTACCAGTCTTGAAGGAGTCAACAGTGAATGATGACTTCATGAATCTCTTGCTGGAGTCGTCAGAAGATGATAGTGTTCATGACGTCATTATCAAGGTTGCTACTGAGAGTTTTACGATATCTTAGAAATATTTAATAAAAAACATCCATTGAATTGTTCATCGTATTCTATTCATAGCTTCATCAACTACCTCTTCTTATTCAATAATTGAACTGTTCAATAGTTTGGAAGGACCTCACAAGCGTGCCACAAGTTCATACTATCACGAGGCAGCGACCACTTCTTCAACCTCTTCAGTCAACAGCAGCAGCAGAACAATCTCCGTGCTCATGAGGAGAACAGGAACCTCCTTGCACATCAGAACGGTAGCTAGGATGATATCATCACATTACTGTTATTACTATTAACGTTAATGATATTAATAATAATAAAATAATAATAAATGAACACTAGCTTTGAAATAATAGTTTACAACGTTTCAATGAAACCAACAGAAGTGACAGTAGACTTGCATGGAGCATCTGAATTGATCTTCAAAGAAATGCTGAAGTTTTTGTACTCTGGACGTTCTGATCTGCTGGTAGCTGGTAGAAGTGTTGATAATGTTCTCATCAACAAGGGAAGCAGTAAAAGTTTGCCTCTGCAAGTGAACAACATGAAACAGAATACACAAGTCAATCTGAACTCTAATAAGAAAAACAAACATAAAAAACAGAGCAGAAACAATCAGGACAACAACAAAAGTAATGATGGCTTCTCACATGATCCTGTCTCTAGTTTAAAAATGTTAGCGAGAATGTACGGAGTTAAGAGTCTTGTGAAAAGGTGAGAATATTAGCAATGCTGACACGCAATTTTTTGTGATGTTATCAACTATGTTTAAGTGTTACAAGGTTTGTTATTGCGTTGTCGCTGTCGTCCATATTTTCAACTGCTTTCAGATGGTTATGATTATTTTTGCCTAATTAAGGTTTACTCTCATTACAAAAAATTTTCAATCATTTTCATTTCGACCATTTCAACCCGGTGTTATTTAACTCCTCATTGGGATCATCATCAACATTATTATTATTATTATTATTATTATTACTATTATTGTTACTACTACTACTACTATAATTGTTGTTATTAATGTTGTTCAGATTGGATCGGGTGAGGTGTGTGAATGGAAGGATCGAGGGGGTTCCAGGCAGGGACCACCCAACGGAGCTGCAAAAGCCCTTCACCATCAATAATGAGTCATGCTTTGTTTACATTCATTTGTAACCCATTATATATGATTGTTGATCATACTGAAGTATGGCAATTTTGAAGTTTTCAACAACGAAATAAATTGAAAATCAGTTGCGAGTCTCGTTTACCTGTACATACTCAAATGACAATCCTTGAAGTGAAGATCAAAATTTATAAAAATTATTTTCTTACGACGTTCAATGTTTAATCAACATTTGTCTACTGTAACGGTTTGAAACGTTGCTCGTTTGTTAACAGCATGAGGAAGGGACTGGGAGATGTCAGCATAACGACATCAGATGGCGCGGAGGTTTCCTGCCACAAGTGCGTCCTTGTCGCCAGGATGGAGTACTTCAGGAGCATGTTTGCTAGTCACTGGATGGAGGTTGGCTTTCTTTTTCTATTGCCATTTATTCATATCTGCATTTTTCATTTTAAATCATTTTGAGATTTATTTATTCATCTGTCTTCAGACCAACAACATGGCTCCAATAAAACTGGCAATCGAGAGCAGAGTTTTCCATGTTCTTCTTCACTATTTATATTACGACTCTCTTGACGGATCGTGTTAGTAGCAGTTGTTTTGAAATGATTAATTACCTTTCATGTTTATGCAGTTGTCAATAAGTTTCATCATTATGTTAACCCATGCAGCCTCATATGACTTGGACCTGTTGTGTCATTGTTTGGTTGCATCTGATCAGTACTTGCTTCCCAGGCTCCAAAGCATCATTGAAGTTGAACTCTCTCAGATGGGTTGTTAGACGTTTCTTGTATTCTCCATCAGATAGATCAATTCTGCCTCTGCTGTTTGGTTGCTGTTATGCAAGTGTCGTTGTATCCAATCTTGTTTGAGTTGTTTCATTGCTGACAGTAGTCAGTTTTCATTGGTTCAATTACACATAGCAACGTTTGATGTTAGCTTTTTTTGTGGTGTTTATAATAATGTGCGTAGCCTGCTGAATACTTTTTGGTCAAGTCTGATGGTTGACACAAAGTATTTTGTATTGTTTGATGGTAACTGCAGTCACCTTGAAGAACGTGTGCAACCTCTTCCATCTGTCCAGCGTTTGCAATGCCACACAGCTGAAGGACAAGTGCCTGGAGTTCATGACCATCAACATTGCCATACTCTTTGAAATCGGGTTCAAATTATGTTCCCTATAAATAATTTCTAATTTTCAGAGTATTTTAAAATGTACACAGAAGCTTAAATATTATAAATTACGACATCATGGAAAAACTTTTGAAGTTTACATGGGTGTTGTTTTTTCACGCACAATGAACTTTCCAATGTAAATCTTCATATTTCCAGTGCTTTCGTGATGCTCCGAATAAATTTTTTTTACCATGTTTTATGCTTCTCAGAAATTGATGCTTCAAAAATATAAGCATCAGTTGATATAATGATTTTTTTGTAATAGTTAAAAAATATAATACTTTGATGGGTTTCTAAGTACATGTACTCATTCATGCATGTAGACACGAATATATAAGTTATGATAAATATTATCTGCAACCAGAGCATTCAAATATATGGAGGAGAGTCTTTTGAAAGATGTTTCAGCCTGCTACAGAGAGAAGGTTAGTTAAACTGTGCATTCGCAATCATGCTTCGTAGAAAGATATGGTAAGATGTGTGCATTTAATATCAGATTCTACACGGAAGAAATCGTGCTATTGGGCCGTACACTCACGTGCCGTTGCTGGGTGACCAATCAGAGGAGACTGCATCATCCCAAGAGGTTGATAATATGACGAGTCCGCATGCATATTTAAGTGGTAAACACAAGAAACGTCGACCAAGAACAAAATCCAGCATGTCGGAACATTCCTTCACTGACGATGACGACATTGCGACGTCATCACCATTAGAAGGTTCTTTTGTGAATGAAGGTCTGAAAGAAGAGATCCAAGATGAGGCCTTTAACTCGTTTGATGCTGGCGATTTTATGTTGAACATCAACAAAAATAACAACAAGTTGGAGAGGAAAGATGCTGATGGAAGGGGCTCTGGCGCCATAAAAGAGAAGTTGAATGTTGATAGTGATAGTGGTGGTGGTGATGGTGGTGATGGTGACGGACACGTGGATTGCTCAGCTGTTCGATTGAGTCATGCAACCGTTGCAGCATCATCCGATCTCATTCAGGTGCTTCTAACGACGTGCAACAATTTGAAAACTTGCCTCAACAACAATAATGACATCAATATGCGGTGCCATAATCCGATCGTCAATGAATTCGTGTCGAATATAGATGTTAGTACACCTGTCGAGAAAGGCATCTCTTTAAAGCAAATCATTATGGAAGAAGAAAATGTTACTCGTAAAATTCAACCCAAATCAATAAAAATTGTTAAAACTGAATCCAAGTATGTTTTTTGAATATTTTTGTATTGCTTTCATAATTTATTTTATTTTTTCCATTTCATACACATATTACTCAAACAGGAAGTTATCCCAGAAGGATCGCAAGAGAGCAGAGAGGGAGATGAAGAGTCACATGTCTGCCAGTGTTGACGACCCTGGTGCAGCTGCTGTTCATCGCGTCCCCTTCCTTAACATCCACACAAACAATGCTGATAACTCAGCTGCTCTCCATCCAAACAACGTCACCCTAGCTAATGTAGCTGGTGCCTCTGATAAGTTCAGTGAAATCTGCAAGAAAAGTTCCGTGAAAGCATCTTTGCCGTGGTATGAATGAATGTCATTCTCCTCAAATTCATCTCTGTGTGTTTTTTTGTTGAGAACCATTTTAAATTGTTTCATTTGTCCTCATTTCTTGTTTGACTTGTTTTAAGTATCTCTAATATATTTTTCTAATTTTCAGAGTAAGAAATGAAATAAATAAATTGAGATCATATTTTCTTGTAATAATTTTTGTAATTTTCGTTGCATAGGAAAATTTTGGTGACCAGCGCCTCAGCAAATGTTCCATCCAGTACCAGCCAACTCGGTGCATCAGAAGCCACTACTGCCAGCACGAACGTGAACGTCCAACATTTTCCGTCGCTGAAGGACGTCATATCCATGCAGGCACAAGCGTCACCTGCCGCTGCCACGGCCGCTGCTCTACACAGGACGAAGATGCCATGCAAACTAACAACTTGCAAACAGTCTTCAAGCGCCTCCACTCACCCAGCTTCTAATAGAGTTGCTCACACTTCACAGCATCTGTCAACATCGTCAACATCAGTTGCAACATCACATCTCATAACTACTTCAAAATGTGACTCACTCCAACAAAATCATATCACTGCAGCAGCATCATCATCATCGTCGTCGGTTTGGCATACGAGTCCAATTTCCTTTTCATCCACTGAAACAACTTGCAGTGGCGGGAAAGTGTTTAGCGCCATCTTGGACGAGGAAAAGAAACAAGAAGAAGAGAACAGACGGATGGAAAACAAAAGCTTGCATCTTGTTCAGGTTGAACAACTAATTAATTTCTTTTCAAAATTGCATTTATTTCCCGTGGCTCTCTAAGTCTTTTTTGGTACTATAATAATAAACTACTAAAATGTGCTGTCTTTTTCTTTATTAATATAAGCATGTGTGATATTTTTGAGAAACATTCGGATCGGGACATCGGGAAACTATCAGAAAATTATTATCGATGTACCAAGAAATAGTGTTTTTAAATAAAATTAACTACAACAGAAATTTGTTTAACTTTTGTTAGTTGGAAGAGCAGGCAATGCAAGAGTTGTACGATCATTACATCTCCTTGTCAAAATCGTCGTCCTATGGCAAGTACAAAGAGACCATCAGTGTTAGAAGAGCAACTGCAACTGCCTCGAGACCGCTGTGGAAGGCGACTCAGAGACAGCTTTGATGGGATGCTTATGATGTAATGTTAATGGTATCATGCTGCTGATGTCATGTCTATATTTTATATGTGATGTTGATGGGATCGTTCAATATGTAAAAAGTATTTTTTTGCATTTTATTTTTGATTATTTACAATTTAATGCGTGTTTCTATTATATTTAACTTTTACGTTCTGTGAGATGTTTGTTCAAACGTTTCATCACATAAGCGACTGATTACGTGTTTAATCATTGTCACGATCATAAATCGTCATCCTTTAAAATTAATCCCTGATTTATTAATAATATTTTATCATTATTATGTTTCCTTTGTAATTATTTCTTGATATGAATTAGTTAATCTAATGAATTTGTGTATCATTATCTGAATTAACTTGATTTTAATTTAACCATTCGCTTTTTTGTGTTTGTACTTCATTGACCGGCAATAACAGTTTTGTTAGTCACGTAACTAACCGGTAGCATGTACATTGTACATAATCTACGATCATTGCACCGCACATGCACTTATGTTGGACAGGTTTATAAATAAATTACAATTACTATTTTTATGAGTTTGTTTTTATCTGCCGGTTTAACTTTATTCTGCATTTGTTTTAATTATGCTAATCGATCGTCTTCTGGCGTTTAAAATCGTTGTTGGTATTGTATGAATTCTACCGAATTGTTGGCATTAATCAATTTGAAGTTTGTCTTTTCAATTCTCATTACTAGAATTTTACTAGAATCAAACACAGTTTGATTAAATTTTCACGATGAACTTGGACAATAATTCTATTTGCAATAAAGTGAACAATTTCCAAAAAAATTCTAGTAAGGAAAATTGAAAAGACAAACTTTAAATTGATTAAGGCCAACAATTCGGTAGAATTCATACAATACTGTGTACACACACACACACACACACACACACACATATATATATATATATATATATATATATACATACTTACATATATATATATATATATGTTTATTTGCACACGCGAATGTACTGCGAAGCTTATAACTTCCTACTCGAGTTTAAGCTTTGTAGAAAAACTACTAAATACAACGCAATTACGCACACAAACACACACAGAAACAAAGCTTGGCTGCTTGTTGGTGCAAGGAGTTTTGACGTTTTTGGCCCGACTGTATGAAACAATCTCGATTTGGAACCGATCTTAACACTCATCATGTACGAGATATGTGAGATCAAAGCGCTGCAGTGACCAGATTAACACGTTTTAGTAACAATTATGAAAAAAATGTAATACGATTATAAAAGAAACAAGTCCCGTTGAAAAATATGTTTGTTTGTGTGTGCTTGCTTCGTTTACATTTCATATCAATAATAATAATCTTAAGATAAATTGTAGTTTTAAGTTTACCTTTGGACATTACTCTTTGCAAACAGGCAGATGAATGAATAACTTTTGAAGACACGCATAACTTTCATTCCAATCAAACTGTTACAATACGCTGAAAATTTTCTAATCATTGAAAATTCGTGACTTCTTCATAGCTAAAAATATTTCCATTGTGTTGGCTCTTTTGTAGTCTGCTGTCATTGTTGCCGATCTTTTTCACTGATGATTGTCAGAAAATTTTCTTTTTTAAAACTGATTCATTTCATAAATAATTTATATTAGGACATTTTATTTCATAATTAGTATTTCAAAGATTTTATACCCCCAAACTTTCAAATCGTAAAAACAAAAAACTTTTTGAATTGAATCCCTTCTCTAAAATTTATCTTTATTTTTTGTATAGCTGAAAATTTTTACAAAAAATCTGTGCGTCAGCCGAACTATTAAAGATCTAAAGATTGTATGAAGTTACACGATGGAGATAGCACATTTTGATTTTATCCAATTCACTTAACCATAAATTAGAGTCAAACATTATAAATTTTTGTTTGCCATTAAAAAGTAAAATGCTTATAAATTTTTATGTCTACTAATAAATTTAATTTATTTTTATCTCACATCTCAAAGCATGTCACTGTTGGTTGAACCACATAAGAAACATATCTGTATAGAAGGGAATCTATCCAATTCATACGTTGAATTGAATAATTGACAGTCCAATGTTTCAACTTTTCAAATTACGCAAAAATGTTATTTCAAACTTTCATATGACATAAACATTTATCATTATTTGACTTATCATTGCGTTATTTGACTAATGATGTTTGATGTGAATTAGTTGCTGTGTTAAAACTGAATAAGAAATATTATTTTTTTAGTAGGCCCTCATAAAAGAAATTTTGAAAAATGAATGACCCAAGCATTATCGATGTAGGCATAAAATAATAATTATGTTATTGTCATACATTGCAAAAAATGACCCACCTTAGTCAGAATTGTAACAACTGGCGCCGGAATAACCGAAAGATGTCCTTGATGGGGGGATGTGAAGTGAGGTGATCAAGGCGCAGATGAATGTGTGTATGCAATTAAAATCTTCATTATATAATTTAATTGCTCATTGACCGTATCGACTTAAATGTCAGTTAAATGTTAAACTTGAATGTTAGTTGTATAAATGATTAATTGTATGCTTGCTTGCTTGAAAGGTTGATTGCTTGCATGATTGATTAATGTTAATGATCAGTTGGTTGAACAGTTGTTGGAATTGTGACTATGAAAATGCTGAATGATATTTAAAAACTTTATGTTA